TATATATGTGTGTGTGTGTGTGTGTGTATATATATATATATATATGTATGTATATATGTATTTTGTACTAAATTTATATTTTGTGTATACAAAAACAAAAAAATCTATTTACTATACAAAATGTTGAAAATTTTTCTTTTAAAAACAATTGACAAAAAGAATACCAATAAAGGAAATTGGTGTATATCTAAAAAAATTGTATAAAATATAAATGTTATTTCGACTCAAATTATCGGTTCAAAACCAAAAATTTGGTTTGAAATTATATATTTCGACTCAATTATCGGTTACTACCTTACATTTAATATTAAAAATGTTATTCGATCCAGCGAAAAGCAAAATATAAAGTATAAAATATAAATTAGATAAACACTAAATATATTATTATAATATAAATAAATTTTAATTCAATTATTTTCGTTAATTCAGTTAACCAACATAATAAACCAATTACTCCGATACAATTTTAATCTGTTGAGATCAAAGTTCGCGAATTGCACTTTCACGACTGCACAATAGTGTTACAAAATGCAGTTAACCAACCGAATAAACTAAATAAATATACTTTTATAATAATAAATAAAAATACACTGAAATGCATAGTGTTAGAAGAATTGCACTTTAACGACTAACAAGTTGCACCATAATGTTAGACGAGTTGCACATAATGACTGAATTGAATGAACTAAAAAATTCATTTAGAAATCATATATTCTGGCTCGATTATTCATTTTTATTTGTAAGATATCAATTATGTCAGTTTAATATGGACATTATTTTTTTAAAATAACCAAAATAATCAAAGTGACTAACTATACAAAAAATAATTTATATAAATATTTATTGTATATAAAAATATTATTTATTTTCCACCAGAAAAATAGAAAATATTAGATATAACTATTAAAAATACTAAATATTTTGTTATATTATTTAAATATTAAGCTATTTATCTTATTTATAGTATTCATGTTACCGATTATATAAATTTGATTTTAGTTTGGGTTAAAACATATTATTAAAAAAATGCATGAACTGTAAGTACACTACACTGTTAGATGAATTGCACATTAATGACTATCGAATTACACTTGATCGATTGAATTAAATTTTTCGGTTCGATAATTTGTTTTTACTTCTAAAATCACGCCAATTATTCCGGTACAATTTTAATCTGGTTTGAGATCAAAGTTCGACGAACTGTACTTTAATGACTGCACTATAGTGTTAGATGAATTGCAATTAATCAATCGAATAACCAAATAAAATATACTTTTATATTAATTAATAAAAATACACTGCGAATGCATAATAGTGTTAGATGAATTGCACTTTAATGACTATCAAGTTGCACCATAGTGTTAGGCGAGTTGCACATAATAACCGGATTGAATGAACTAAAAAATTCGTTTCAAAATCATATGTTTTGGCTCGATTATCTTTTTTTTTTATTTATGAAAAATCAATTATGTCAGTTCAATATGGACGTTATTTTTTTTATAATAACCAAAATAATTAAACTGGCTAACTATATATAAAATATTATATATATATATATTTTATATAAAACTATTATTTATGTTCAGCTAGAAAAATATAAAAATATTAAATATAAATATTATGATACTAAATATACTTTTTTATTATTTAAATATTATGCTATTTATATTATTTATAGTATTTCGGTTACCGAATATTTAAATTCGTTTTTAGTTTGGGTTAGAACAAAAATTTTAAAAAATATATGCACTGTGATGGCACTATACTATTAGATGAATTGCACATTAATGACTATCGAATTGCACTTAATCAATTGAATTAATTTTTTGGTTTGATAATTTTTTTGTACTTCTAAAATTATAATTATTCCAGTTCGAGGTCGGCATTATTTTTTCAAATAACTAAAATAAACCAAACCTACTTTTAAATAATATTTTCTTTACTCAATTGTATTTTATTCAATTATATTTATTCAATTTATAATGTGCATTTATAAAAAATATTTTATTTTTTATAGTGTGTAATATGTGATGTGCAATGAATTGAACAGTAATGTGCAATAATTGAATAGCAATGTGCAATGAATTGAACAATAATATCTAATTATTGATTTTTTTTTTAATAAATTACATATTTAACACATAAATTAAAATTTAATATATCAAAAATTAATGAAATTGCACTTAAGTCAATGAGACTTATCAAATTCTTAAAGGGTGGCCCAAATTACAAACTTAAGTTCATATTAAAAAACCCCTTCAGATCCCAAAATCCAAAGCTGTAACAACACAACATGCGTGCATCATCCAAAATCACAATTCAGGATCCAAAACTAATCAGGCAATGAAATAAATTATCTACTTAATCACAATCCAAGATCCAAATCTTGACCAAAATCTCTCAAAGTCGGAACGGATGGAATCTTCTCGCCACTGAAGCACCTCCACCGCCGACGGAGGCGAATTCCATACGAGGAAGCGCTCCGGAAGGAAAGGAGTTGAAGAGCTCCGACGGCTGCTCGCTCCAGATCGTGAAGAGGCAACAATTTGTCTACCGAATCGCAGGCCATTGACGTCGGAGGAGAGATCGACGGAAAGAACCGTCGCCTGATTCATCGATTGGCCGTCGGCAGATCAATGGCGACTGATTTCGTGTTGTTAGCACCGGATTTGACCGTCGGCCGGTCAATGGTGACGGTGGCGGGTCCGGCACGGGCGTCGGGGTCGGCGACGGTGGTGGGGCCGACGGCTGGATGCTCTGTCTGCGGCGGAGATGGCCGTGGCGGTGGCGGTGGCGGAGGCGGTGAATGGGCGGCGGGAGGATGACGGGTGATGGAGGTGTGCGTGGTGTGTGTGGTGTGTGTGTGTATGTTAAATGTGTGTGTGTTTGTGTGAGTTGTGGAGAAAAAGTGAAAAACTGATTACGTGTGTGTGTGTGTAAATTTATGAGAGAGAGATAAAAGTGGGTAGGGTAGGTGAGTGTTAAATAAAATGACAATATTATCCTTAATGAATGTCAAATGACTAAATTACCCTTAATGAATTTGACTTTAATTACTAACTTTGACCATATTATGACCATTGATGTGTTGGATCTAATGGTTCACAATCATTCTTATTTTTTTTCACCATCTTTCATTATCATATGATCTTTCTCTCTCTCTCTCTCTATATATATATATTATATTATTTCTAACAATTATTGGAAATATGATTGATTTTTAATAAGAATCTTTAATTGATAATTATTAATTAAATATTTTATATTGTATTTTTTTTAAAAAAATACGTATGGTAAGTGTATTTCTTAAATTAAGTGTATTAAGTATGATAAGTGTATTTCTTAGATTTTTTTTTATTTTGATTTCATATTTTGATTGTATTCCTAAAAAAAAATTGAATAAAAAGATATGCTAATAATTAGAGATTTTGTTAAGTTACTATATTTAGGCAATACTTAATGTTTTTGGCAGGAAAAGATTACTAAAATTGTATTAAGTTAATTCTTATTATATATTAATAGATTCCATTCTTAATAAATAAAACATCTTATTTCTGAAACATGTCATTTTTGGGTGAGTTATTTATTTAAAAAAAATAAAATTAAGTAGACAAAAAAAAAGTGTGGACCAAAATCAAACAGCCGTATTCTCGGAATACGTTTTTCTAAAAAAAGCTAACTATAAAAACGTATTTCCAGAATACGTCTTTATATATTATTTATTAGATTAAAAAAAATTCAAAATGCGATGAATATTCGAATATAAAAAAATAATAAAATAAAATACAATAAACGTATTCCCGAAATACGTTTTTAGTAAAACAGATTTCAGGAATACATTTTATAGAAGCATTTAAAAAGAAGTATATATTTAAATGTAAACGTATTGTACGATTACGTCCACTGACACTTTTTATAAAAAAAATATTTAAATTAATACGTATTCTGAGAATACGTTTTACAATTAAAACTGTCGGTGGACGTATTCTGAGAATACGTTTTTAATATTAAATATAAAAAAATCTTTTCCTCTCCATTTCATTTACGCGAATCACCACAAACAGAGAGTAGAAAAAGAGCAAGAAGAAGCGAAAAAAATCAAGGGAAAAAAAAACTTGATCCAATCTTTACCTCGGTGTGAATCGACAACACCGATACGAGCCTCATTTCCGACTAATTCATTCGCACGAGGTATATTGGCTTATCATAACCTTTTCCATTATTTGGAGTTGTTTCGAGATTGAGGATTGTTATAATATGTTTGAATGTAGTTGTGTTTGAAGATTGAAAATTGTTAATTGATAAACGATTATGTGTGTATGTTGAATTGAGGATTGGAATTTTGTGTGTAAATTGTCAATTGTGTATTGTTTGATTGTTGTTGGGATTAGGGTTGTTCGAAATTAGGGTTATAATTAGAGCTTTCAATTTATTCAAATTATAGATGAATTTTATGTTATTGTTCGATTATGAGTATTAGGTTTTGGAGGATTATTTGATTGAGACTTTTTTTTTGTTGGAGTAAAAAATTGAGTTTCAAATTTTAGACATTGTGTGTTGTTCTAATTGTAAAGAATTGAAATTGTTTTTTTGCAACAGGTATAAAATAGCCTATCCCGGTCCATACCTTGTTAATTTGTACTGGCATTTTAGGAAGGAAATGTTAAGCGATTTTGTTTCATTTAAAGATCGTCCGAGTGGTTCATTTATTATTCCTGGGAGGATATCATATGAACAGTTGGTACAAATGATTAATGCAAAATATCAGTTTGAAGAAGGTTGGACAATTCAGGAGATTACTATGATGATTAGCCAACCTGATGGTTCGTGGAATCCCACAATACTCAATAACAATAGTCTTGAATGGATTTATTACTTTCCTAGTATGTCCATGGTGTATTTGCATTTATCGTTGCAGGCAAATACACCCATAACACAATTTGAGGATGTTACTCCTTGTTACAGGGGAGTGTTTGATGTGGAGGGTACATCGACTTCTCATCTACCTAATTTTGGAAAAGGGACATCGAGAGAATGGGCGGCGGATGAGGACGAGGAAGATTTTGTTCCCGGTGAAGATGATTTCACAGACGAGACCTCAGAAACCGAATCAGATAGATCGGTAAATGAGGAGAGTGAACCCTAATTCATCGAAGAAGAACACCCATTTTCTATTGGTGGTCGGCACATATACCGCGAGATGGGTGAATGGGACCCGTCCAGGATAGTTGCGAACGAGTATGCTATTCCACGGTGGAATGGCGACATTGAGACCATACGTTTGGGTACAGTTTTCCGGAGCAAGGAAGAAGCCCAAACGGGTCTAATGGCTTGGAACGTCGATAGGTTACGGGAGGTTCAGAAAAAAGATTCAAATCAGAAGTCATTCAAACTGGTCTGCAAATCGAATGGAGATGTGCCTTGTCTGTGGAAGGCTCGGGTGAATAAGGCCAGACGGCGTGATGATTTGTGGGAAGTAACTGAATGGACTGACCAACCTTGGGTGGAGCTTCCCGGGCATTGTTCATAGTGAAAGTAGTCGTCTCTCCATGAGCCGAAAGAGTGACTCGTCCATCCTTGACATCAATAATGGTGTTGGTCGTAGCCATGAAAGGTCGCCCAAGCAAGATCGTGTGCTCCTTCCCGGTATTCGGGACATCTCCGACATCAAGAACCACGAAGTCAACCGGCATAACAATAGAACCAACTTTGACCAACACATCTTCAATGATGCCCTTTGGTTCCCTCAAAGTGCAATCCGCTAGTTGTAGGAACATCCGGGTCGGCTTTAGCCCTTGCAATCCCAATTGCTTGTAGATAGAATGTAGCATGAGGTTTATATCGGCACCCAAGTCGAGCATCCCAGTTGTATCCTTCCCATTCCCGAACGTGATCTTCATGACAAAGGCTCCCGGGTCACACTCTTTCTGAGGTATAGTCGTAGAGGCTACCTCGGAAATCATGACCTTCTCATTATCCCGAATCTCCTCTTCTTGGAAGCCAAATCCTTGAAAAATTGCACATATGCCGGGACATTTCGAATAACCTCCAAGAGAGGGAGATTAACATTTACCTTTGAGAGCATGTCGAAAAGCTCTTTGAATTGACCTCCTTCTTTGTATCTTGCAAACGGCTCGGGAAATGGACCGGTGGTCTGTAAGGTGTGGTAGTCTTGTGCAAAGCCTCACGGGCATCCTTCTTGGGGTTCTCCTTCTCGATTTTCTCATCAACAACGACTGTCCCCCTTGAAACCTCAACTTCTTCTTTCAGTTCTTCATCATCCTCATCAACTATCTCCTCAACCTCGCCTTCCTTGGGCATCTCCACATGGTTGTCAACTTTCTTACAATTTCTCAAAACCGTGATGGCATTGACGTGCTCGGGTTGGCTCGGGAACTTGTTGTAATATCCCGTCTATTTATCAGTATAAATTATGTTTTAGTTCCGATATTATTTTTTGGAATTAATTATTTTCAGTTGTTTCAGTCGAAATTACCGGAAATTATTTTCGACGTACCGTTTACGTTGGAAATAACTTTGGTAATTAAGTGTTATGCTTAATTAAGTGATTAAGCCTTAATTGGTGATTAATAGAAATTAATCATCTCATGCATTTTATCAATGCCGTGCGTCTTTGTAGTGGTGGTGAGATGTCCCATTTCTTTATTGTTAGTGTTTTGGTCCAAGATTCCTACCACCTTGTCCTATGTGCAGTGTGTATAAGTGATGTGTATTAGTGCAATTGTTCCAAGAATTCCTTCCACTTAGTCCTTAATTGCCGTGCATGTAAGTGGGAGTTGTTCAAACATTTCTTCTTCATTTTTGTTGGTATCTTCACGTGGCTTTATGAAGCTTAAGGAGAGGTTTGCATATTTGCCATGTGTCTTAAGCCTTAGTGCATGTGGGAGATGTGTACTAAGCCATTGACCAAAGATCTCTCCCTCACCACTTCTTCATTTGGTGCGTATGCATAAATATGAGATGTTGGGAATTTTTCCCATCTTTTCCCTCAATAGCTAAGTCTTGCATTTATAGGTATATAGCCTAGTTTCTAAATATTATACTTATATATATATGTGTTCGCCGAGCAGAAGTTAAGGGTGGTGGAGATTGATAGAGTTCCGCACGGCGACGCACACACGCGGAGGGTCATGACCGAGTACGAGAGTTCGAGAAGTTTAGTCTCTAGGGCTAAATAAGAGGTTAACTCCCGACGATATTTGTCCGAGATTAGCATGTTTATTAAGTTTAATTTTATTAGTAGCGTGCATGCGTGTTATGTGTGATAAGCCGTAGCCGTGCCGACCATGCCATGTTATAAGTTATTTCCTCCGGCCATTCTTGCATGTTTAGCCTTTATTTGCAATATCATGTTTAGATTAGCAATAATGTTCAGATAATTAGCCATGAGGTGGTGCTTTGGTCGAAGAGGTGTGGTCGCACACTTAGTGCGCACCACGGACCGCTTTCGTGCTATTGCATGTTAAGTTCAACTCTCTGATTAATTATGTGTTATCATGTTCAATAAAGTCATGTTCAAGTTTAGTAAATTTGAATTGCCGAGATATAATGAGTACAGGTCGTGAAACGGCTTAACGCCGTCGGCGGCGCACGGTGCGTCCGCCGTGGCCAAGTTCAGTCCTTTATGTGAATCTTCATGTTTTCAGTATAATTATGTTCATATGTTCATGCCATT